GGGGGGGGGGGGGGGGGGGGGGGCTACGAGGCACCAACCATAGACGCCGAGCGGGAAGCTTTTGAAAATATGCAGTGTCCAGATCGTCGGAAATGATATTTTCAGAGTCTTCTATACCTTATACAGACAAATTTTGGTAGCTTTTATTTAGATATACAAAACCATATTTTGAATACCCACGAGTACCAGGTTGCATGAAGTGATGTTTTGATTATTTATTTTTGGCTTAATGGCGTCAATTGTTTAAAAAAAAAACGTTTTATGCAATTTGACGCAAATGAAGTCACTCTTTTAATTGTTAAAATTTGCAACAAAGCCAACATATTTAAGAACCAGTTGAACTATTTTCGGAATTCGTGAGATATTAAAAAGCTGTGAGCTCTCTGAGAGGTTTTAGTAAAATCTGTGATGTTTATAGTGAGGAACCATGAGAGTTGGCAACTATGCTCTGTATACATGTGTCGTAATCAGGGCGTAATAGTTGTATTTTATATATTTTTACCATTTATTGAGTCAACGGCTGTTCCAATCTACATGTTTATGTTGAAATCAGTTTAATAAATGGTGTTGTGTTGGGGTTTACTACAGTTCTACTTCTCTATTTTTTATCTGTCGGTTTTATGGTACGACAGGGTCATGCGGGGCAGGTATTTTATATTGCACAAAAATTTTTGCCCTCCCCCCCCCTTTTTTCATGCACAAAAATATCTGAGCCCCCCCCCTCTTTTTCCACCAGTCCCCCTCCCCTGTAATTAATGATCGGTTCCTTATAGCCATTGTTTGTGGCTATAAAGTACGCCTGTTTTCGCATACCTCGACGTTCTCTGAATATGCAGGAAGTGTTATATATGACTTACAGTACACAGGAAATTTTTAGTTTGGGATTTTGCTGCCAGGAAGAGAAATATACTTTCTAGGCCTGGTCTTCGGCAAAACGTCCGTTCGTTACTGTTGACTGTTGTCCATTCCGGCAAGGCAAAAAGGTCTTTCGGGACAGATTTGAGTACCCTTACATTAATTTACCGTCCTATATATCCACTTAATCACTATAAGAATTCAAAGAATTTTTACGAAAAACAAAGTTCTCTTGGATAGAAATATTCGTATAAGCTTATAAGGGAAATCTAAATCTTGGCTTAAAACTTCGTTTGATTTTTTCATTCGCCAATTATACAACACAATAATAAATCCGTCGTTTCCATGGCAAATTATGCAAACTGAAATGCAACACGGTGTACTCCCAGTCCTAGCCTGCGTCACAGACGCTCGTGGGCGGAAATGGGGGCGGTAAGCGTTTAGCACTTATTATACATTACACACAGACTGACTTCAGATTTATAAATAGTTGTATGAACTGTGCAATTTATGTGATTGCCTTTTAAAGTTTAATTTGGGTGCAGGCCATGAACTTTCTTACTGTCAATGTGTTCAATACAATACAATACAACACAATTTTTTATTCAGTACCGTTAGTAATACATACATAAATATAAAATTAAGAAAAAGTCACGAAAAGAAGGTACTAGCTAACTGTAATAACCAAAAGGCTAAACAAGACAGTCAGCGAATTTGATTAGTAACAAATATATTTTAGTGGGTAAACTGAATAAATAAAACGTATGCAATAAAGATTTCAAAATGGACAATTTTGATGCTATAAGCTAATCTGAATCCAATATATTATTTTAAGTTTGTTTTTAAACTGAGATTTAGAAAGACCCTTAAGATTTTCGTCAATTGAATTCCACACATTACTGCCAACAAAACGTATATTAAATTTTCCATAGTTGGTTCTTACTTTTGGAAGGGAGGTGGCTTGAGGAACCCCCAGTCACGTGCGCCTCTACTGGTGATCGGGCTTGTCGTTTGACCGTTTTTCGGCGCGGTATAGGTACAGGGTTGACGACATTTCGAAGTCTGTGTACCAAATCGGGTGTCATACCAACAGAGACCTTCCTTGACCAACTTGGGATCAGCAGCAAGTTTCCGTGCTCCAGTGTCAAGAAGCTTGAGAACTTTATTGAGATCAGATCTGATTGATGAGATTTCTGCTGACTCGGGTGTTTCAATCTGGGCAATGGATGGGCGAGCATCGGTTAGCTCTATCTTTCCATCAGCCATCAATGCTATAAGTCAGCCAACGGTTTGTCTGGATATGATAACAAATCAATCTGGACATTCGAAGGCAGGC